CCCAGACCCTGTGCCAAGTGGATGCAGCTGCGATAAAGGAGCTGCAATGCTCCTATCTGTTCTTAAACCATAGGTACAAAGGCTTGTGAACAAAGCTCACAGCAAAAACAGAGACAGACCTGGGCCTTTAGGGCAGGGTTGTGGACGTCATGTGTGAAAACCATCTGCGTGCATTGAAGCTCATCGGGTCTATCTCTGGGGCCTTGTGATTGCACTTAGCCTGCCTGTAGCTGACTCAAGCCTGAGTTTGCCAAATTTCCTGAAAATTTTAAATAGTTATTATTATTATTATTATTAAATATTCACAACCATCAAGCAGAATCTGCTTCATGGTAGCCTTATTAAATAGATTATAACTACTCTTCTGGATATCTGAGGCTTCATCTTTATGCGAATAGAAAGTCTCAACTTTCTTCCTCAGAGTGGATGCTGGGTTTGAAATGCTGACCTTGTGGTTAGCAGCCCAGTACATAATCCAGTACACAATCATGAGTCCTTAAGAACTTTTAGGTAACCAAATAATAAAACTAAAGATACATATTTACTCTCCCAGAAACATCCCCATGATAAATTTTTAAGGTATAGAGTAATTTAACAGGAGATATATAAATATTATTTCTCTTACATGTGTGCTATGAAAAATATTAAGCAAATTATACAATATTCTGATTACTACCAATTTGAGGGAGACATCCTCAAATTTCAAACTATGAGCAGTTCCCTTCTATCTAGAGGATCACTTATGAGTTGGCAGTGGCAATGGCTGGCTTGAAGAACAACTGAGTTTGTTAGTTACTATCAAATTGGCTCCAACTCATGATGATCTCATGTCCAGCAGAAGGAAATGTTGTCCACTACTGTCTCATCTTCATGGTTGTTGGTATGTTTCAGTCCATTGTTGCATTTGTACTGCAGTTGGTTTGGATTGAAGATATTCTGTTGACATGATTTGCTGAAGTGCTTCCCCCTACTTAGTTATGTTAGGAGTCTTACCTAGACCAGGAAAATGAGGAGGAGTGTGAGATGATTTATTGTGCCAGCCTGGCCGATAAACACAAGTGGGATTAACTGAAGGGCTTAGAGATAAATGGCTTGGTGAGCCTCGCCTTTCTTGTCTCTTGCTCTTTGATCATTGGACCAGTGTGAGGCTGCCTTGCTTGTTCTGTGCCTCAATTTAAAGGCTACACTACCTGTGGGACGCCTAGCCTGTGGATTGTGTCACTGTAAGTTGAGGTCCCTTTAAGACATCTCTGGAGTTGGGGACTGGCGGTTGGTGACCTGGCTGGCAGTTGGTGACCTGCCTTGTGATTGGCTGCTGTGCTGACATAGCCTAGCTCTCTCTACAAATAGAGGAAGATCTGGCAGCAGACTAGACTTGAAGGACTGCTAGTCTCTCACAACTCTCTCTCTCATTTCTTGTTATATATCTAATTATCTTTATAAATAAATATATTAAATTATCAGCAATTTGGTTTTATCTCTCTAGAGAACCCTATCTCACACAGTGAGTGAGAAGTTCATCATCAGCCACCTGACCGCACAGTCACCATGAAGCAGTCAACTACTCTTGCCATCAAGGTTGATGGGTGCAGCACTAGCATGGTCCTAAGCCAAAGTCTTACCCTAACTCTCTTGTTAGTCTCTGAAATTCTTGCAGCATTTCCTTGTGGGTCTTTATAGTCTTTCTTTCCTCACCCCTCGTGCCTGACACACACACACACACACACAGAAGGGCCCGGCCTCCCAATACTCCAGCACATATAAGATTTTACTCTCCCTCCTCAGCCTTCTTGGTCCTGAGGAATTTTCGTCCCCAGAAGCACTCCTGTCCTTCTATTACCTTTGCAAGCTCTCTGGATTCTCTCAGAGGCTTCGGCTGTGTGAATCCAAAAGCCAAGAATTCTTCATATGTTTCTTCCCATTCCAACTTGACACTCATTTCCCCAAAGGTGTGGTGAACCAAGTTAGCTGATTTCATAAGTAGTGGAGAATGGGAATTAAGTCACGAAAAAATACATAACTGTCATGGAGTTGATTCTGACTCAAAGTAACCTTATAAAACAGAGTACAATGGCCCCATCGGGTTTCAAAGGCTGTCAATCTTCCTAGCAGTAGACTGTCACGTGTTCCCCCAGTGGGAGAAACTGGCAGGGTTAACCAGACTTTCAGTTCCCCTCCAGGTGCTTTAACCACTATGCCACGAGGAGTCCCCATGAGAACTTATGGGAATCAAAGTAGGAGAGCAGTAAAAGAAGTGTACTTTAACTTCTAAACATATAGGTGTGCTGAATTCATTTTGTACTTCCAAACTAAAAAAAAAATTCTGAAAGTTGTTATTTTACTATGAAAGAAAAATATTGTCTCCTTGTTTCTTGAAATATTCAGCCAAGTGAGTATTCCATTTTTTTAACTCAGCTGAAGCATTTTTTAAGTCAATAAGTACCAAGGGGAAGAAAACAAATCTTCAAGCACAATAGAAAACCACAGAAGACTGTCTTAGATATTCACATTGAAATTTTTTTTTAAGGAGCTTTGAGTCTTTGGCTGCTAATTGAAAAGCTAGAGGCTTGGGGCTTCCTTAGAGGAAACTCGGAGAAAGAATTGCTAATCTACTTCCGGAAAATTAGCCACTGACAATCCATTGAAGTACAGTTCTACTCTGACACACACAGACTCTACAGAAACTGATTTGGTTTGGGGTATTTTAGTCTTCATGATAGTCATGAAAGAATGTGAACTTGGTAATGTCATTTGTCATTAGAGTTCCTTTCACCAAGCCACGCTTCTTCGAAAGCTCAAGTAGATACCACAGACTGACGTATACAACTTCAGCAGGCCTATTACATGAGAAGAAATAGATCTGGTCATAAAACATATTTTAAAACCTCCCAATCTGAAAAAGGCAGGGCCCAGATGATTTCACAGATGAATTCTAGCAAACATGTAGAGAAGCATTAGCATCAATCCTACATGAACTATTTCACAATATACAAACAGACAATCTACTACCAAGCTCATTTTATGAAGCTAGTATAACTGAGCCAGGTAAATTCATCACCAGAATTGAAAATTATAGACCAATATCACTGATGAATATAGACGCCCAATATTTTCTATAATACTCTAGCCAAAAAGTTCAACAAAGAATTTCTTTTTAAATTGCATCATGTTCAAGTGGGATTCATACTAGATATATAAGGATGGCTCTGTATTAGAAAAACAATCAATGTAATTTCCCACATAAACAAAATAAAGGATAAGAATCATGTGATCATATTAATTGATGCAGAAAAGGCATTTGATAAGACTCAACATCCTCTCTTGATGAAAATACTCAATAAAATAAAAATAGAAGGGAAATTTCTCAACATTATATAGGCCATATATGCAAAACCAATGGCCAACATCTTACTTAATGAAAAGAAACTAAAAACACTCTCCCTTTGAAAAGGAATCAGACAGGGCTGCCCTTTATCACTACACTTAATTAATACAGTCCTAGAAGTCTTGGTCAAAGCTAAGACATCAAAATATATATATGTATATATATATTAAAGGCATGCATATTGGCACAGAAGAAAAAGACATGCCTTAATTGCAGATGATATAATCCTTTATATAGAAAACTACAAAGATTCTATTTTTTTTAATTGCTGGGGAAAACATAATTCAATTGAAAAATTGAAAAATTTGGCAGTGCAGTAGGCTATAAGATCAATGTACAAAAATTAGGTGGGTTCTTGTATATTAAAAAAGCAGTCACCAAAAAAAATTAAAAGAACAATGCCATTTACAATAATTACCCAAAGATAAAATATCCTGGAATAAACTTTACCAGAAAAAACAAAAGATTTATACAAAGAAACTACAAAACACTCCTACATGAAACCAAAAGAAATTTACCCAAATGGAGCAATCCACCATACTCCTGGATAGGTAATCTAAAGGCAGTGAAAATATCAGTATTACCAGGAACACATGAGAAACTCAATGCAATTCCAATCCAAATCTACACACAATTCTTCAAAGAAATGGAAAAGCTAATCACCAGTTGTACAAAGAAAGGGAAAAAAGCCAGGATAAATAAGACTATTAAAAAACAAAAATAAAGCAGAAGGCCTTTAACTCCCAAACTTTAAAACCTATTATATAGCCGCAGTAATCAAAAAAGCTTAGTACTGGTACAATGATAGACAAGAACACTGCTGGGCTATATTGAAAACCCATAAATACCAACAAGTAACTAGAGACAAATAATTTTTTTGATCATTTCTTTGAGCCTCTTATAGCTCTTCTAATCCATACATCAATTGTATCAAACATATTTCTACACATGTTGGCACCATTATTTTCTAAACATTTATATTCTATTTGAGCTCTTGGTACCCGCTCCTCTTTATACCCTCCTTCCCCCCCTCCCAACCTTGTGACTCCTTGATAAATTATAAATTATTATTATTTTCATATCTTACACAGACTGCCGTCTCTTCTGGAAGCCTCAAGCAACCAGAAGAATGTCGTGTGTTTCATCTGTGCTATACTGCTTCCTGGTTGGATCATAAGAGATGAGTCTTCTGTGAGGGGGTGTCCCATGAGACAAATTATTTTTCATAAAGAACTAAAATACATTAAATGTGGAAGGGATAGCCCTTTCAATAAGTGGTGCTGAAAAAATTGGATCGTCACCTGCCAAAGAATGAAATAGGACCCATATCTCACACCATATACAAAGATGAACTCATGACAGATCAAAGATCTATCCAGCTAGACCAGAGGATGTGCACTGGTACAGATAGGAACTGGAAACACAGGGAATCCAGGACAGATGATTCCTTTAGGACCAGTGGTGAGAGTGGCGATACCAGAAGGGTAGAGGGAAGGTTGGGGAGGAAAGGGGAACCGATCACAAGGATCCACCTATAACCCCCACCCTGGGGGTGAAGGGAGATGTAGGACAGTGTAAGACATGACAAAATAATAATAATAAAGTAATTATCAAGGGTTCGTGAGGCGGTGGAGCTGCAGCGCATGTCTGTGGACTCGCGGTTCCGAGGCAAGGGCATCGCCAAGGCGCTGGGCCGCAAGGTGCTGGAGTTCGCCCTGGTGCACAACTACTCGGCGGTGGTGCTGGGCACGACGGCCGTCAAGGTGGCCGCCCACAAGCTCTACGAGTCGCTGGGCTTCAGACACATGGGTGCAAGCGACCGCTACGTGCTGCCCGGCATGACCCACTCGCTGCCTGAGCGCCTCTTCTTCCAGGTCCGCTACCACCGCTACCGCCTGCAGCTGCGCGAGGAGTGACCGCCCGCCTGCTGCCCGCCTGCCCGCTGCGCCCGGCCACCCGCCCGCCCTCCCACGCCTGCCCACCGCCTGCCTGCAGCCCACCTGCCCGCCTGCTGCGGCCGGCTTCCAGATACTCACCTTAGCATTTTAGGTTGGGTTTCTCCTTTTTCTGTGTCCCATGGTTCTCTGGCCATTTCTTGGGGTGCAGGGGGTGCCTTGTTTGTGGCGCTTTGGAGCGGGTGAGTTTGTCTTCAGGGGCCCTCCCACCACCACTGTCACAGCCTTCTGGGCCATCCCCCCCAGGCCCCAGAGGGACCTGGAAGCCCACTGTGGCTGTCGTTCACCCTTCCTGGCCCCCACCGTCTGGGGCCACCTTGCTGCCTGGGCCTTGCCCATTGAACACAGAACCCCTGCTACTGTGTGGGTGGCTGGGCCACTGGGTGTGGGGCCGGGCCAAGGGGTTGAGCTGGCCTGGCCGCTTTGCTCCGAGCATGCTGAGGCTGTGGTCTGGCCACGGTGCGCCCGCATGCCCGCAGCCCCTGCCCGCTGCCTGTCCGGATCAGACCCCACCCCGAGACCCACCCGGCTGAGTGAGTGAGGGAGGGATCGAGCGCAGGAGGATGGGTCCTGCTGCCCCCGCCCTCATTGGCCCCTGGCTACACCCCGTCCATCACCCATGGTCCCCTTTGCTTTGCTGTCCTGCCCCCCTCCTTTCCTCTGCTCCAACCCCTCCCTTGCTGATTGGCAGCACGTTTGAGGTGTGGTTCCCATAGCAACCAAGCACAGCTTGGTCTGGCCCCTCTGCAGAGTGGGCCTGGGCAGGGGGCGGTGGGGGGGAGGGGCCCTCCTCCCACCGCCCCAGCTCTCGCGTGGCCCCCTCAACCGTCCCCAGGACTGCCCTGTTTCCAGATGGGCCGGTCTGTGCACCTGACAACCCCAGGCCACCCCAGGTCGCAGCTGCCGCCACCCAGCTGGCCCACAGCTTCCCCAGCCTGAACCCAACCCCGTTTTTAATAAGTTATTAGACAGAATAGCAACACTGCATGATTTTACTTCTTGGGACAAAACGGTAGCTTGTACCTAAGACAACACGCACTCCTCCGGGTGGCGGAGGGCGGTGCCCAGTTCTGGTGGGGTGGCCCGAAGGTTTCAAGGGAGTCCTCAGTGGGAGAGCAGCGTTTCTCCCAAGGGAGCACCTGCTGGTGAGCAGTTGGGGGTGCCCCATGCCCGCCTGGGCAGAAGCGTCCGGGGGTGCCCTAGGGCAGCACTTCAGGGATGAGGGGGAGTGGGGTCTCAGCCCTGTCCCACCTTGGGGCCTGGCTGTGTCCCCAGGTCCCAGGCAGGCCTGGCCTGGCTTGGGGGTGGGCTGGGAGGGGAGCGGTCGCCTGTGGTCGTGGTGGTGCTGCCGCTGTCACGTCCAGCTGTGAGCCTGGGCCGGCCACTCTGGCCACGGGGCAGGAGTGCCAGCCAGGCCCCCTTCCTCTGGGGGCTCGTGGAGGGGAGGGTGAAGGCGGCCGACCCCCGAGCTGAGCCCCAGCTCCCAGGCTCTTGGCGGGTGGGCGGGCCGTCGCCCTGGCAGGCGCTGCAGTGAATGGGTCTGTGGAGCCCGGCCAGCTCCCGGGCTTTGTTCTGGTGGCGCCCGCGTCCGTCCGCACCGTTTGCGGAACCCTGTACAGCCCCCGCTCCCTGTACATTCCCCGGCGGTGCC